AGAGAAGAAATAAAATTAGGAGACCAAGACAATGAGTGGGGGCTTAGAATTCCCCTCCATCAATCAACAATTAATAAAAACTCTCTCTCTCTCTCTTCTTTGCGTTTCTTTTTCTGTACTGTACCAATTCCAGACTTCACTGAACAAACTGGTGATGAGTGGAGGATGAAAATATTGATCTCTAGTTGAGATTTATGAAAGAAATCGGTAGCTAAATCCGTAATTGATTCGAGAAGAAGTGGATCGGGAAGAATTTGATAGGCAGGGATTGTGGTACAAGCTACTAATTAGGGCTTGAGAGGGGAGAGCACGCAGCAGAGAGAGAAAGATAACCTTATTTTACCTTATTGACGAAAAGGAAATAATGAAGACAACTCCCAGGGGCTAGATTAATAGGTCGAGCCACCGTTTTGACAGGCGGCGGAGGAGCGGCACCAAGGGACAGACATTGTAGGTGGAAAGGCGTCGGGAAGTTGGAGGTGGACCAGCTTCGAAAAGCTCTTTACCGAGGCCGTGGGAGATGTGGGTTTAGGGGAGAAGAAAATGAAAACCAGAGGTAGCAAGGAAGTTCGGAAAACGGTGTTTCCCATGTTTTTTGAAATTAATTTGTTTAGTACTGAAAATGTCCAAAATGTGATTTTGGATGTTTTGTGTTTTCAGTTTAAATTTTTTTTTTTTTTCAAAAATAAAAAAGAGAACGCATTTTCAGTGCTTTGGAAAATTGAAACCGAAAACAGTATGAAAACAACAAAGAGAACATGACCTAAACCTTTGAGATTTAAGGCTAAGTTGGTAGCTAGCTAAAGGTTTTACTCAAAAGAAATTGGTGGATTACAATGAAATATTTTCTTTTGTTGTTAAGTACGCCACTATAAGAGCAATATCAGCTTTAGTAGCTCATTTTGATTGGAAACTTCAACAACTTGATGTAAAAACTGCATTCTTGCATGGAGATTCAGATGAAAAGATTTATGTGAACCAATCTGTTGGATTTATTGAAAGAGAGAAATCTAATTTTGATTGTCTCTTGAAGAAATCCTTACATGATTTGAAGCAATTTCAGAGGCAATTGTACAAAAGGTTTGATACATTTGTGTTGATTTTAGATTTCAAAAAACAAAATGCAATTATGATTATTATTTTATTACAAATCTGAATCCGGTAAGTCTCCCACTATTTACTTTGTTGGAAAAATTGGATTTGGTTAGTTGGTTTAACCAACTTTTGACCAATTATTTTACTAGGTAAAATATTTCTTTGGCCGAGTGTGTTCTACTCCATGAGTAGATTAATATAATGTATTTATCTTCTCAAAACCAAGTGAATGAGAAATTAAGGCCAAAAGATCACAACTTGAAATTGAAATGAATTGAAAACCACTTAAAGTTGAAATAAATTGGACTAAAAATTGGTGGAGAAATTGGAAAAGTGTCAATTCCACGTAGGAAAGTTAGAAGAATATAAACCACTTTATATTACTCAAATTTGGAACTTGGGTTTGGGTTCCAAGGAGTACCAATAATTTTTGAAGGGGAGAGAACATACATGCTAGTAGGTTGAGCCAAAGCCCACACGCGCTCACCGCCGCCACCATTCGTCCGACAGGTCGGCATAGCATGGGTTGTGGGTCGTGGACTTGGGCTACAAATTATTTTCATTCATTTTAGTGCTACTATTACAAGTCGAGGTCGTTGTATTTTGGAAGACGAGTGTCGGAATACTGTCAGCATCAATGCGGGGTATTATTATCTTAAGGAGAAAGAATCGAACTCTTACCTCGACCATTAACATTTGATCGCATTCACTTTTTCACGACATTATTCTGCCCAAGTTAATTCTCGGTGATATTATTACTTGCATATTTCCAACATACTTATTGTTCTATGACGATGATATGTTACTTATAAGTCCTTACAAGAAAATAAAAGGAGCCTTATTTTCTAAATTTGTCGTGAAGGACTTGGAAATGCTAAAAGGATTCTAGGTATGTAAATAATTAGAAATAGACCTAAATCTTAATTGAGATTGATCCAAACTGCTTATGTTTTAAAAGTGCTTAAGAATTTTGCCATGATTGATGCTAAGTCTGTGAGTAGACCTTCAACAAATCACTTTATTTTAAGTAAAGAGGAATGCCCTGAAACTGATGAAGATTTTAAACATATGGAAAAAGTTTCATATGCCAGTGCTGTAGGATCCCTGATATAGACTATGATATGTACTACCTAGCTCACTCTATAGGAGTTATCAGTAGATATATTTCTAACCCTGTTGAGATACATTGGAAAGCATTAAAATGGACTGTAAGATACTTGAAAGAATCCTTAGACTTGGGATTAACTTTCAAATATAGTAGTGAAGGAATAGAATTCAAAGGACATGTTGATACTAATTATGCTAGTGACAAGGACAATTGGAAATTTCTTACTTCATATGTTTTTACTATTTGTAATGGTTGTGTGAGCTGGAAATCACAGTTGCAACATATTGTGGCACTGTTCACAACAAAATCTGAATACATTCCTACCGCACAAGCCATCAAGGAAGCATTATGGCTGATGGTTTTGTTAAATGGATTGATTTTTTTACATGATGTTGTAACTGTACATTCTAACAGTAAGCTTGCTAATTTTTTATTTTTATTTTTGTTAAAAACCTTATTTCATGAATGCATAAAACGTGTTGATTTAAAATTACATTTTATAACAGATATTGTATCTAAAGGTTTGATAAACTTAGAGAAAATTTCTTCTCCGTTCAATCCTGCTGATATGGGTACAAATTTCTTTAAGTAAATTTAAATCGTGCTTATCTACATTAAACATTGATAGTGGCAGATTATCTGTTTTCAATTGCAGGTACATATGCGAAGTGGGCACAAAACGTCTCGTCCTAAGCTATTTCACGCTTTTTTTTATTTTTTCCGCGCCTAGTGGCGCCTAGGCGTGTTTTTTTTTTTTTTTTACATTTTTACGCTTTTTTTCTTTCATTATTAAACAGTTTTTAGATTGATTTAAAATTTTAAAATAATATTAAAAAAAAAATTTTCTTTACGTTTTTTTATGTCTATGCCTCTCCTAGGCTGAAGCTCAATTTCCACGCTTCGTCACGCTTTTTGCTTTTTAAAATACTGGTTACATGTGTTATGGTACAATAGAATGATTACTCGTTTGCGAACATAATCACTGTGTCAATGTGGAGAATGTTGTTTGTTAGCGTGTGACACAGGATTATTCCCTATAAAAGTGTGTTTCCATTTTTCATTTTTAATTGGTTACTGGAATGCACTTCTTCTGTAGAGGATTAATCTTGGCAATTCAATTAGACAGTTCAGATCATTTGTGGTATGTGGTATAAAAATACCACAAACCGGCACTTAGGGTTGCAGAAATTTTAGGCGACGTTTCTCTCTTGTTTTCCTCTCTCTCTCTGTAATCAGGACTTGGGTAGAGATGTGAATGATCTCCTTCGCTTGATTTTGAACTGTGATTTCTTGTGATCTTGTGTACAGATTAGAGTGATCATGTGTTGATCCTTAAGGTCGAGTCAAAATCTGTAAAGTGAGAGAGAGTTGAGTGTTGTGATCTTCGATCTCCTTATTTGCGAGATTAGAGAGAACTTTTGTAATTTCTGGTGATTCTGTGTAGAAGAATATCCACATTGTCCAAACCCCATGAATAATTTCTGGTATTATCTTCGACAAACACACTTTCGCGATTAACATTATCTATTTATTCAAGGATGGGAGTCTATGACTTCATTTGTCCTATACCTTTTTTTTTTTTTTTGCATAGGGTAAACATCTCCAATGCAAATTTGGGGTAAATTTGATGGAGTCTTTCCAATAGTTACACCAAATTTGATATATAGTATTGAAAATGGTTTTACGCTGAATTTTACACCAAATTTTATTTTGAATTTTTTTATACCAAGTTCTATTTTACAACTTATATTATTTAAAAAATCGTTAAATTAGAAATTATATTTAAATAAATTGTTCTAGTGCTAATATATTAATGATCAAATTTGTAACTTTTGACTTTTTATTGAACAATCTTAATTTATTGTTAAAATAATTATTACTTATCAATTATTAAAATTTAAAAATAACCATCATATAAAAATAATTATGAATCAATTAAAATTTATTTAATACTAAAATATTAAATAAGGACATAGATGGAAGAAACAATTTTTATAAAGTGTGAACAAGGACAAAAAGGGTTAAATCAAAATTTTAATATTTGGTGTAAATGAATTCATTACATTATCTTTTACACTATATTTGAGGTACCAATGGAGGAGACTTTACACCATATATAGTGTTCCATTGGAGATGTCCTTGGTCATTTCTCTATTTTGTTGGCTGTCTGAGATGTTGCTGGTGGAGACTCAACTATTAAGATCCTAAATGGAGTAAGGAATTATGAGATTGTATACACACAACTGAAAAAGTTAAAATATGTAAAGAAAGAAAGGTCAATTGTTTACAGGAAATACTGTAGGTTCCAATGATATGCAAGTAGTGCATGTTCTATTAAGGATATCAAACATCTATGATGGCTATTTTAACCTACACATAAAAAAAAAAAAATCCAAGCCCAATAAACTTAAACGAGCAAATTTATTCATTTCAATCTCAAAAAGGAATAATAGATTTCAAGATTGATGCTCTTAAACGAGCCACCATCTTGCAATAACATTAATTTGAACTCCACGTTGAATAAAGAAGAAATAAGTATTAGGGTATAACTATTTTTCTTAACAAGATTGACTTTCTAAGCTAGAATAGTAGCACACCCAATTTTGTTGCCCAAGTTCTATCCTTCAATTCCAAGTCGTAACCAGTCATATTTTAGAACTGAAGCAAAAAATATTCAAGTTTCCAGTAGAATATTCACATTAGATAAAACCAAATTATTTCACAATTCACATTAATGACCAATTAAAAGAAAAGAACATCCATCTAATGTTACCAACTGATGGAATATGAAGAAGACTTATCCAGATAGATTAAAACTGCTGTAGGCCCATGGTTTCGTACAAAACAGGAAGTCTGTGGATTGAGGCTGAAAAACAAAAATTCAATTCGTCACCTCAAAATCACTACAATTGTATATGTCTATATGTTTTGGAAACAAACTTACTTGGTTGCCGGGATTTGCAGCGGCAGCACTGTGCTGATAATTGAAGGTTGTAGATGTGTTCCAATTGTCTTCATCTCTAGCCCCTAAGATTTGTGCTCCATGAGAGCTCAACTCTTCAACCTTAGCCAGCATTTCATATGAAGGGTTCATGTTTGAACTTCTGGTGCCTGATTCTTCACCAGTTTCAAATGGACAAATCTTTAACCGGATCGAACTATGATTATTCACAGTTTTTGGTTCACTTTCACGAAGGCTTCTTTTTTCAGCTGCCCTTGCTCTTGCCCTCTCTCTAGCCTTTCTTCTTGATTCCTTTGCAACAATCGTACGCGCTACTTTACTCTTCTTCTTCTCTTTTGTACAAGAAGGTTTGTCTAGCTCGCTTTTTTGGCTGATGATTGTAGACTTGTATTCATAAGTAGCCGATTGATCATTGATTCCTGACACGACTTCGCATTCAGAAGTAGAGGATACACTGCAGGTTTGTTTATAAATACAAGGACCGTGCATCAGCTCTCTAATGGCAGACCTTGAGTTCTTGAGAAGCCAATCCACGGTTTTACTCGCCTTGTCATATCCTAACATGTCTTGCAAGCCAAAAAATTTCCGGGCGACATCAAGGGACAGTCTCATTCTTCGGTCTCTTGGGCCATGAGCAGTGTTGATTTTACTGTGTCGATCTTTCTTGGAAGTTCTCTTTCTAGGGATCTGCTGCTCAGTTTTGCTGTTACAGTCTTCTTTCAGTACGTCTGTAGCAGCAGCTGTACTCGAATAAGCCATGTTAGTTGCATTTATCTCGGCAGGAACAGCATTTTCTTCTGTTGTCAAGGAGTTGTGCTCATGGAAAAGGTCATCAAATTGGCGACTAACAGCTTCGTATTCATAGTGCATACACGGAGAGTTAGGAAAATCGAAAAACGAAGAGAATGAATGGTAGTCTTTAGAATTGGAGTTTACGTCATTATCGACTAAATGAGTTTGGGAAATCACATGGTCGATGCAACATATAGAGTTGAAATTGCTATTGTTGTTTGAGGGATACATCTGAAAGAATGCCTTTGTCCTTGAAGCTATGCTAGAGAAATTGACTAGGGCTTGAGGAAGACAGGTGCACTATTCGTACATGCTTATCCTTTTGGCCCTCTGCAACAAATAATTAAGGCTTGAGAGAGACTGATCATTTACCTAATCTTGATATTTCTTTTTTTCTCTTTCACAATTCCATGTGTTTGTATATTTGTGTGTGTTTACTGTGTGCACAATAAGAACTTGATAACTTTTTTCTGTGTGTGTGAGAGAGAGAGTAATTGCACCCGAGAAATGGCTCTTTGAGAAAGACAGGCATGGAAGAAGATATAGAGGTTAAAGCAAGATGAATTATTGGCGACACAAAGGGCCTTGCCTATTTTTCTACTGCCCATCTCATGACAGAGAAGGAAAACAAATTACTGTTTTACATTTTTTCACTTTTCAAACTAAAAGATAAATACAAAAAGAAAAGAAATGAAAGGGTATCGTATATCTTCTTCCACTAGCTAAAGAAATTATAGATGCATGCTTGGTTGGACTTGGAGTGTTTGGAGCATGAAAGCGAAAGAGTTGAAGCAGCAGCAAAGATAAGTGGGCGCAGCTGGATTGAACCACTTGTCTCTTAACAACGACATATATTCGTAATCATCAACAATTACCAAACCGATGGTGTTAATCACTCGAATTATGAACAAGTGAGATGCATTAATCTCTAGTTAGTGTTTACAGAGAGAAAAAATGACAATTGGCCAAACCCTTAGAATTTCCACGTGGCATCTCCAAGCTAGACAAAGGACAATTATTTCAGTTTTGAGAGGATAACACAGCGTAGCTTAGCTTAGAGGCCTGGGCTCTTGCCTTTTTGACTGGGGCGACCTCAATGTCACTTTCACTAAAAAGAGAAACAGATCTATCCCCCTAAAGTCTCTCTCTACATGTACATATGTTTCTATGAATATCACTATCTGTATCTCTCTCTCAAAGGGTTCTCCCCCCTTAGCTTTTCTCTCTCTCTCTCGTAAACGACTGTAGTTGATGAGTACAGAATAGTCAAGAAAGAGGGGGCTTTGTGGTTGTACTTAGTGAAAACCCTAATAGTAGTCAATATTGTTCAAATAAAGAACTGTTTGTATCTTTCAAGAAAATGGCAATAGTGAAAAATGTTCTTTCTTGCACTACATAATTCATTTCTTTCCAAAAATACAAGCCGCAATTGCAGCAAAACCCACTCCCACTCCACCATCTATCCCATTTTTTTCCAAGCCTTAGCTGTCCTATATACCAGCAAGACAGGACCACATGAATTGGTTGTTCTGAAGTTGCTTTCAAATATCAGATATCTATGAACAAAAGGAGAATGATATAATTTATGTACTATGAGTGCTTTCATTTCTATATAGAATAAGAGGCCATATTTCATTTTACTTTTATACATTGTACCAACAATTGACATAAGGATAAGAATCACAAGGCTTTAAGCATAATTATGATTCTGCTGTACATGGCACTTGGTCATTTCCTTTGCTAGGAAATATTATTGGTTCATAGTACAACAATATCCTTTGTCTTTTAACTATCTTTATATTGCACACTTAACTTGCAGCAGTAAAAATTTCTCTTTTTCACCATGGAAAAATACTTCGAGTTTCCCATTTCATAAATTGAGATGTCACGTCACTTGTTTGACAAAAGGACACTCTATTATTTATTTTTGAGAAGTATCCATCGAAGACGTGCCAAAATTATCTACATTGATGTATAAACTTTAGTCATTGTTTGGCCTCCATTAAAGCAAAATTTATTTCTCTCTTCTTTTGATCTAAAATTTTTTTCTTATTTTTCAATCACATGTTCTCTAAAAAATTACTATTCTCCTCGTTAAAATTTCAAATAATAGAGCCCAAATAGGGGCTTAGTGTAAGTCGTGAGTTTCTTTCTTAGTAAGCATTCTTTGTACAAACATTTCAAACTTTTATTAATTTCAACTTTATTTTTCAATTATTACTCTCAATTGACACTTGGTCAAAAATGAAGTTTGCAACCAAAAGGTCAACTATCCCGTTATTTGCCCTTTCAGTGAATGGATTTCTCAAATAAAAACAGATTTTGTCACCTAATCTTTCTTCATCTCCCACTTTCTCCATCATACTCTACGTTTCTGTGAAATCAGTGCTTTCATTCCAAAATCTCTTCAAAATTATCATAGAAATTGGCCACAAATTGATATTATAGTTTTTCGACAACAGATATATCCACTGAATAAGTCAAAATGTCATTGTTAATTTTGGCATCTCTACAGTCACCAGATTAGAGTAAATCAATATTTCGATGATTTCGAATCTACAAGTTCCAAAATCAAAAAATTAAAATTTCATTCCGAGTATTCTGGTAACATAGCTGTAAAGAATTTCCATTTCACAACCGCATCAACATCTATACAGGTAATTGTAAGGGATTGTGGACTTATTGTTGTAGTAATCATAATCCGAAATGTGCTTGTTGTCGATTTTCTATCCAGCAAATATACAATTCGTAATAAGTAATATAGGGGACCAATGAATCCGGATTATCATTTCCACGAGAACTATGTTGGACAGATATGGTGTATGGAATGACAAACAAAAGCCCGTAGAATCTTTATCAAACTTCTGCTAGAATTTCGACAGAGTAACGGCAATGAAACTTCAAATGAAGAACGCCAAATGGATGCAAAGCTGAGGTAAGCGTTGAACACTCTGTCCTTAAGTAGAATTTGCCCCGCAACGATGTCTATAGTTTCTGGCAATCAACTCTCAAGATACGACTTCTTGTTCTTGTGTGAGTAACACTTCAACACATAAGAACAACGAACCAGAATTTGGTTTATGTACTCCTTAATGCAAAAATGAAGAAATCAGAATTTTATGCAATATATATGCAAAATTTGGTTGAGGGAGAAAAGAGAATGTTATGCTATGATTGCATATCATTGGTGTGAAGAAAAGAACGTCCCAAGGGTCCTTTTTATAGAGTATGAGAGATTGTGGACGAAGTGTTGCGAGCCAAACCTCGCAATCTTAAAAACAAAAGCAACTCTTGTTGTCGCTAGCCTATCGTTGACTTCTCGCTTGAGCGACAGTGACACCTTTTCATCATAGCTTTTCTCGCTAGTCCATTTCTGGCCTCTCGCTCGAGCGACAGGTAAGTGATATGCAAGCAACATAGATAGTCATATTCCAATCTGTGTATCCTCTTTTCTATCTAACTTTTGTACCGCAAATTCTCATTCATCCGGATTTGGTTTTGAGATTGCAAATATACCACGACGAGTTGGTCTATTTACTTTTGTAATTTGACTATCGAATCAAGTCCGAATATTTGCTCAAAGTTGATACCGAGTTACTTGTTCAAAATTATACTTAACCAAATTTTTTATTTCTTTAAACCAATTTCAACAATCCCCCACATGAAGGAAAATTTCTTGTTATGCACAACATAATGCAAATGAGATGCAGACTCTAAAAAAGGAGTACATGCGACAAGTTATAGCTTCAAGATAGGTTGTTTGTGGTTTTGAACCTTCTTTGGTTGAACACAATCGAATTTACTAAGTTAATTGGTGAACACGATGTCTTGAACCATTCAGTCGTTCGTGTAAATTAAAACAACTGTACTAATACCATAACTTATCTAATCATTTCGGTTATCATGGTTATGTTCATTTTGGCTCTAAACAACTCTTGATTTCATAAATGCTTTAAGAGAATTAAGCCTCAAATTCTAGTAGAAACGGCCCAATTTCACACTTATATAGATGATCTCCTATAGTATAACATCTCTTGTCTTCTTGCAAAATATATGAATCATTAAAAGTATACACTTATCCTTAAACACTTTCTATTCCAACACTTTCTGTAAGAATGGAAGTAAGTGGTTTACACTGAATCTTTCATGACTTAGTTGTCTCATTGAACCAAAATCTTGAGATCTCCAATCTACAAGATTGGATTTCTGCTATATTAATTCTGCTCGATAACCTTTAGACCCATTCCCCTAGAAAGATGATATACTTGATTTCTCGTTAATCCTTTTGTCAAACGATCAGCTATGGTTTCTTTTTATTTAACAAAGTTAATCGAGATTATATCATTCGATATCAATTGTTTAATGGTATTATGTCTCCGATGAATATGTCGAGATTTACCATTATACATACTATTTTGTGCTCTTGCAATAGTCGATTGATTATCACAATGTATATTAATCAAAAGTACCGGCTTTTCCCAACATAGAATATCTTCGAGAAAATTACGAAACCATTCCACTTCTTCTTCGATTTTATCTAAATCAATAAACTCAAATTATATCGTACATCGAGCTATACAAGTTTGCTTAGACGATATTTAGGATACAATTTCGCCTCCAATGGTAAACACATAACCACTTGTAGACTTTGAATCGTTTGTGTCAGATATCCAACTTGTATCGGTATATCCTTCTAACACTGTAGGGTATCTTGAGTAGTATAATCCATAATTGACCGTGTGTTTTAAGTATTTAGGAACTCGATCTAATGCTTTCCAATGGTCACAATTTGGATTACTCGTAAATCTACTCAACTTGTTGGATGCATATGTTATATCAGGATACCTGCATTTGGTAATATACATCAAACTGCCTATAACACGTGAATATTTTAATTGAGATATGGGATCAACAGTATTTTTGGCTAAGTGTAAACTTGAGTCAAATGGTAATTTAACTGGTTTATCATCATACGCTTTAAAGTTTTTAAGTATAGTCTCAATATAGTGTGATTGAGACAATAGCAAATTATCAAATGTTTTAGAGATTTTAATCTCTAATATCACGTCAACTATTCC